CCCCAGCCGCCCCCCCCGGGGCGGGCCGCCCACCCCGCCGTCGCCGCTGGCAAAGACGATGGAGGAGCCCTGGAGACCTAGCTTCATGAACTCGTCGCATTGGCGCTGTAACCCCGGTTAGCATCTCTCGGTTCAAAAGGCCGGAGAGTTCATGGGTAGTCTTGACGTGCCTTGAGATAGTTGGTGGGCCAGACGTTCTCGGTCAAGCCGTAGGAAAGGGAAATGACGTTGGCAGGCTTAAAGGTGCCGCAGGCCTCGTCGGGGGTCACGCCGTCAACGTTGGGGTCATCTCCGCCGTCAGAGGTACAGTAGGCACCGTCGACGGCGTCGAGGAACTGGTTCAGGAATCCGAGGTGCGTTTGTCCGTCAAAGTTGGACTTTGTCTGGTACAGCTCGGTGCCTTGAGGGTAGATGACGGGAATGGAGACGTCAAAGTCGAGCGCGGCTTCTCCCACAGCCTGGCTCGGGTCTGGCTTTGTGCTGCCCCAGTCAATGAGGTCGATCTTGGGTCCGGTGCCCTTGGGGATCTTGGGGGCGTATTGCCTGTAGAACTGGTCCAGATCTGTCTGCTTATGCATCTCATTGTCGCTCTCAAACATGCCTAGCTGGTTGCCCTCGACGGCCGTCGTTGAGTCGGTGATGTTGTAGAGGGCCTTGATGCATGCGGGGGTTATTTGAGTAGGGCAGTTGGATGCATCTGTTTTCTGTTAGATGGTGACGTACGATTTGGGAGAGGTTTTCGCGGCTCACCCTGGCTGTTGACTGTAAAGCCGGGAGGAAAGGGAGTGAAGGGAATCTTTCGAGGTTGGCCGGGGGCAGCTCGAGCGGATTTCACCTTGATTGGAACGACACCAGGAGTAATAAAGTCTACATGCTTGGAGACTTCGTTGGGAAGTGAATAAGAATCGGCCCCCAGATGCTCGCTCCTGGTTTGCTTATTCTCGTACAAGTGATAGTCGGTCTTGAGAATGTTCTCAAGCTGGCCAACCGTAGTCCTAAAGTCGAGCCAGCCTTTGCTCCTGGGGGACGTGATCTGGTTATCAGGAACTCCGCTCTCGACAAGCCACCTCTTGACAGTTTCAATCGATTCCGGGGCAGGAGAGAAGAGGTCAACGACCTTGTCCTGAGTATAATGATTTCCATGATTTTTAGATGATGGATCAGAACTATATGCTTATCAACGGCGTTATCCGCGGACAGCTTCGGCGCCAAAACTTACACGTCCATAAGATATTCCATGCCCTTTTCTAGGTTTCGCTGCTTCAGGGCAATGCGGACCGGCACCAACGTGTCGGCAGCGGCGCGCTTTGTGACATGGCTGGTCACGGCATCAAGGGTACGCTTCTCATGAATGACATCATGGCCTGTAGGAACGCCCAGAGAGGCAGCCACGAAGCAGCTGATGAAGATGGCGGCGGGCCTCATTTTCACAAGAATAACCGAAAAAGCAAGATGCCAACGACATGCAAAGTGTGCCGAGTGTTGTCTTGACAGGGCGAGGGATTGTCTTCTTATAGCTGGTACCTTGGCGAAGCTTCAAGCATGGTGAATTATTACACGATTAACTAACCAAAAATAGAGCATAGATACACACTGCATTCTGTAATACGGTACGGTACTTGTCGAGTTGTGACGACAACCGAGAACAAGCTAAATTTCATCTAGAAGGTGGTACCATAATTATGCGCTTCTTTGAGTTACTTTATCGGAGTATTTTATGCCCTGATAGTAGGGATTCATCAAGAAACGCCAAAAGCAAGCCGTGTTATCCGAGCGACGTCGCAACGGGCGTAATCACTTGATGCTGTCCGTGCAACATTTTTTGCCCAACTGCCCACGGTGCATCTCAGCCAAAGAGTGCACGACGTGGTTGAGCAGCCGTGCTTATTTGAACTACTTTTCTTGGCGTCATTCATGTACACTTCGAAAAGGGTAAACAGAGCCTTTTCAAGGAATTGAAAACGACATGGCAGGAATATGGCGACATACAGCGTCTTTGTACGGGAGTAATGAGGAGAAGCAGTGAAATAGACGCAAAGATAACGCTAAACAAACAACAGCCATATACGGTAAGTTTCTGGCCGATCTCTGACAAAGCTCTCCCATTAGGAGAGCCTCCTCATGGCCCTCCATATGCAATGCAACGTCCCGTATGCGGCGCTCGGAAGGCAGCTTCTTAGAATGGCAAGTGGGAACCTCTTCGGCCCCGGTCCGTGAGCAGGTCATCTCCACCGCCAGGACTGAACGTAGAGCATCTTGGTAAGGCGCTGGTGTTCATCTCCGCCATGAAGCTCTGCTGAAGCATGTCTTTGGGGGGGCGGAGGGTCGTCTTGGTCAGGGTCAGGGTTCTCGGGTAGAGCAGAATCCATCCAAGTCCCTTGCTTCCGCAAAGTCGGTTAAGGCTTAACGGGTGCCCTGGAACTTGAAGAGGCCGTCGGGCCTGATCGCTTTCATCCGAGTTTGAATGGTTGATTCGATTTCTTCCGCTCATACTATATGGATTCAAGTCATTCAGCCTGAGTACATAAATTTAAAATGGCTGGTGAGTCTTTTATGGATGTGTTATTTATGTTTTTGCGACTCGTATGAATCAGACCAATCCGTATTCAACGGGGAGGAATGGACGCATCATGGTACTGCGCCTAGTTTGTTGCTTCTCGTACCTTGCTATGAGCGTCTAAAGCCCATACCTGCTCCTATTCCCTCTTTCCTTCTGCCATGCGCACAGGACACGGCATTTGCAAAATCCCGCACCTTATTGGTCCTAAAAAACGAGACTGCGACGTGGTTGGTGACACAACTTGACGCGGTGATTGTATTGTTCATGTAGTAATGCCTAAAGGGAAACTGAAAGAGGCAAGGTTTGTGAATGCTAAATTGCGAATAAGAGAAGAACAATGGCCCGGGGATTAGGGCCTCCTGCTCTCACACCAGCGGTTGGTCCAAGTAGAAAGTATAGATGATGAAATGGCGGTAGTTAGTTAACTTATTAGTTCCCGAAACGGGAAGCTGTTGAATTGGGAGTTGCCGTTGCGAGTTAGCCGGTGGTCACTGAATGTCGCCAATAGATTCCTTCTGCTCTTTGTTGACGACCGTGACACCAAGTAGAAAAGCATATTGGAAATACCCCGACGGGAATGCCAGCAAAATAACGCGCACCGCTTGGGTACTACTCGGGTTTACTCCCTACTAGACAACTGTTTACCGATCGCCAAGACGACTGCACGGCACGTGCGGATCAAGCGCCGTCGCCGTTGCATTTTGTCTTCATGGCACCGACCGAGCGGGTGATGGGGCGAAACTAATGTAAACGCTTTGTCTCATCGCATGAAGCCACAGCTGTGGACACGTGACCAGATCGGTCCTTCATTCGAGGCACATCATCACATAGAGCTAGACGCAGCAGCTATATCTAGTAATCTACCACCGACTGTCCAGATGAGTATTCAAACTCGGAACCCCCAAGCCCGACTGGGCACGGCTCTTGTCCTAGGCGGATGCGGCTTCTTGGGATGGCACTTGGTGGCACGGTTATTGAGCTGCCGAGACTATGACCATGTCTACGTCTTCGATCGCAACGTACGGGTGAACCTCCACCACGGCGCGACCTACATCCAAGGCGACATCAGCGATGTGAATGCCCTACGCACCCTGCTGGGTGAGGTGCAGCCTGAGGTCATTTTTCATGCGGCTTCGCCCGTCGCGTCGCTGCCAGCCAGCAGACATGGCGAGTTCATCAAGACCAATGTCCAGGGAACCAAGGTCGCCATCGACTTGGCTACGGAAAGCGCCTCAGTCAAGGCTCTCGTCTACACGTCTACAGTGGACGCGTATGCCAATCCACCTCATGAGGATGTCTCGGAAGACCACCCGCTTTGGTTGCCGTCAGACAAGTCTAACGAGTACAACCGTACAAAGGCCATTGGCGACAACCTGGTTCGCGCTGCCAATTGCGCTCAACTTCGCACCGCCTGTTTGCGTTTAGGACATGCGTATGGGGAGCGGCAGTCGCAGGGACTGGCCGAGATACTGGACTCCTGTGAAGGAGCCAGGCCGCTTATACAAGTTGGCAATGGGACCAACATGGTGGAGGTCATGTCGGCCGAAAATTGTGCTTCGGGCCATATCCTTGCGGCAAAGGCGTTGCTGAACGAACCTCAGCCAACGAGTGAGGAAGGCCGAGTGGCCGGCGAGGCATTCAACATCTCGGATGGAGCTCCTGTCCCTTTCTGGCACCACGTAAAGGTGATATGGGGTGTTTCCAGAGGAACCGAAGCTCTAAATACCGTCACCGTTCTTCCGGCCTGGGTCATGATGGTGGCTGTTGTCATGGTCGAGTGGGCGCTTTGGCTGTTCACGTTTGACACGGTGAGACCCCCGACAGAGCTGCGAAGAACAGCACTGGAGTATTGCATCTACTCTCACACATACACCATTAAAAAGGCGAAGAAACGATTAGGGTTTCGTCCAGTAGTGGACCACGACGCCGTGCTCGCGCGAGCGGCGAGGCTTATGCTTGACCAGCGAGCCGACCTGGCAAAGGTCAAATAAGTCAACCACCGCGAAGGAGCCAACAGAATTTCCTTCTAATCAGTGCTCGAATTCGTTCTCAAGTTTGGTAAGCGACAAGTGCTTGTACAAGTATCTTGGAGAATATTAACAGTCTCAAGATACTAATATATCATATTATATATTAATATTAAATTATTAAAAAAAAGGTCAAAAAAGGGGGCTAGATGGTGGGCATTTAGTAACACTGCATTTTGGCCGTATATAGGCCAGGGAACCGTAGCTACCCACGCAAATGTATAATCATATAATAAGCGATATTCGAGTACCCTTGAGCAAACACTTGTTAAATTACAGAAGCGGAAAATACACGGTGTAATGCTGTGAGTGTAGCAAGCACTTTACACCACTGAGACGGGATACTATCTCATCTTCGAATTATTAGTAACACTAACGCTATGGAGATATGCTGCTAGCGATTAAAAGCCCGGTATTATTACAGAATGACAAGTCATAGCTAAGAACAGTGGTACGTATGAATCAAGTGTTACGTCCTGAAATCGAGTATTTGGGCTGTATGTGAAAGCTGCCTACAGCTAGCTGGCAAGCCGGACTTGACCCCTTTTTGTAGAGCTCTCTAGCAAGTATAAGCTAGTCATAATAGAAGGGGAAAACACACGAAAATTTTCTTTCAGGTCGTAGCACGTATGTTATACTATGACTTTGCACGAATCATGAAGCATTACCATGGCATTCAGGCTAGATTGAGCTACGTGGCTGTCCTGTGTAGAAACGCCTAGAGGCTTAATGGTAGATACCCTATTTAACTAAGATTATCCTGTGTAAAAATTCCCTACAAGTGCTATTAAGATAGAAATTACGGACCAGAAGCTTAGGACACGATAGGCTCTTACAAAAAATCCCTCAAGCTGTATGATATGAAATTTGGCTCTATTATTAGACTGGTGTGTGCCCGATGTGCCCTTGGTAACAGTCTGCCTATGTCGGAGACATATGTCCTTCAGCTAATGCTGCACCTTGCACCACCATTTTCACGTTGCCCGGTTGGATTTTGACCACAGGCTGGCTCCTAGGGATAGCTTCATCCGCGTTTCGCACAGGCGGCTACTTGAGTGGCACTCGTTTGGCGCCGTACCGACTGGGAAATTCAACTCATCTGCTAAAGGGCTCTCTTCCCTCGTCTCCAGGTCAGGTGATTGGATGACGGGGTGTATCAAGAAACTGCCCACGAGTCTCTGGGTACGCGGCATCCCGGCTCTGGGAGCAATGCGCACATGTTTCCTCAAGTCATTTTGATGGCAGCAGGATCGGGAATTGAGCCTATGCTAGGCTTTATTAGTACTTGGACCTGCAATACAAAGCTTATATGGTCATTGTCAATGTTTGAAGAGACACATGGCAAAGATCTGGTCGATACGATCACGTCGGATATTCTCGATCCATTTATTCATGACACACAAAGAAGTGGTCGACCTGATCTTATCAAAATGAGGTACAATCTAATGATACAAGTAAATCAAGTAGAGGGTGACGAGATGGAACTTTGAGCCACACGGATTTGCTACTTGAGATATTGGACTGAAATAGAGCAAGGGTTTTTGACCAATGTGATTTCTATTGAGCAGAGTTCCACGTCATCCTAGCAATAATACTCACACCACTTCTCTCATATCAGGTAGTTTGTTGAAGTTATCGCATAGTTCTGAAAGGAAACAGACAATGACCAAATCACTTTGACGGGGCCTGATCCTCCAAATTAGATACAAACAGGAATGAATAGATGACTATGTATTTGCGTCGCAGGACTTAATCTACATTACGATATCACTAACATAGTGCGACCGCTAAAAGTCCTGTCAACATCGGAAGTAGGGGATTGGGACTTGGGAGCCCAGATTCGCTCAAATCTGCCCTTGTGATATCATGTAGTCGAAAGCATCTTTAGATAAATATTGCCGGCTACTATACCTATCCATAGGCAACCGTAGTAGAACCAACACACAACGGCGGCTACCGCCCGTGGAAGACAAGAAGGCTTACATAGTATGTTATGTTTAATTACGGGAGGAGTGAGTACGTTAACATTCACAATGTACCAACATGTCATCTGACACATCATCCATGGTGCTGCGCCTCTCATTGTTAATTTTCCCTCCACTTCCTCACCTCTACTATCACTTTCTCCAGGCTCTATCTCGCGTCCGCCCGGTCCGATCCTACCTCCATCCACAACCACGCGTGAGAGGACCCCAGGATTGCAACTTTAATTCAGCAGCCCTGTAGTCCTCTTTTCTTTTTCAGTAATATCTTTGCCCACGGAGTAAATCGCACTTTCCGTAAGCGCCTTGAACACGGCTCAACCAGGAGCAGACAAGCGACATGTATCGGACGACGGGCGAAGGTGGCGAATTCGCCGTCAGCGGCGACTCCTCGTCTAACTCTTGGAAGATGTTACCTAGACAAAACAGCAGTTGCCTGCTAGATATGCAATCAACTGTACGGCTCTTCCCGTGTTTCACCATCTTTGTCTTGGCTGGATTGTCTCTGTTAACGAATCACATCTGTAATAAACGGTACAGCTATGGCTAATGCTAATGGAGCATGTAATAGTTGCGAGGCGCATCGATATCACGAAATTCCACGGCCGGCGACCACCATCTTGGAACCTCGATATCGGACGCCTACCAGGAACAGAATTATAATCAACTCCAAAATCCCATACAGCAAATCTGACCAACCTCATCAAGTTCAATTCATTTGATTCTGCGTACAAGGAATTTGAGAAGCACAAGGAAATTTGCTCAAGCCTGTGCACCGGCATCCCCCACGATGATGACTGGCCCCCCAAAGCCATGTCTATCGCTGCTGAAGCGGCAACCAGACGAGACTCTTCCTTATATGCCCTGGCGGTCCCGGTGGCTCTGCCTTCGACCCGAGAAGTTTATTTAGCGGAGTCAATAGCAACCTCATGCTCAAGGGATCAACACACGACATGTACCTCGGTGCAATTGAAGACTGGAAAACCTGTTTGGAAGGACTATATGAGGCAATTAGAATATGTCTCAGCGACACTTAGAAAAGCTACGAGCGGGATGTGACGCCAGAAATGCTAGATCAGCTATTCGCAAGCAGAAAATTTCGGCGCGAAGCAGTACATCGAATGCGCAACGCCGGTTTTACCGAGTACCCCCCGCTGGTTCTCAATTCGTTAGAACACCATGTCATTCAACCTTGGAAACTCGTGTGTGATGTAACCTAATGCTTCTAGGTTCCTCGATACGAAATGCGCAGGAATTACGAAGAGGTCAAGAAAGAACTTATGAAGGTTGTCCCATTACTTCAGTCAACCAAGTCAGGGATATTGCCAAGAAGGGAAGTACAAGAGTTTACTACATCGCCTAAAGGTGATGCAATGCTCGAGTTTGCTAATCCTACTGGCGAAACATCACACGACCCAGCCTTACGCTTCCGCGTTTTATCCTATATGCTGGCCGAAACGTCGCCGATCTTGGCTTATATGTTTTCTGGACACTCCCCCAGTTTATACCTCCACTAAACGGAAGATATCACCCCGCATTTACCTCCTCCAACGCCGTACGTGTGCAAAGATGGCTCACAGGTCAAGCTCTACCAGATTCCCTAATACGAGACAAATCGATTACAATCTCTCGAGATACTAATGCATGCAGCGCACATGCATAATGAGCTTATGCCCCGGGAAGTTAGTCTTGACTAGCTCATTGCTATTGCCGAGCGTTCATTGCGCTATAAGAGCACCTCGCCTTTAGAGATGATAGTTGACTACAGGGGGTTGCCGCAATGGATGCACCGAGGCGCTGATAATAAGCTGGATGGTTTATTAGTGATTAGTTACGCCTTTGGTTCAAGCGCCCTTTTCACTCGCATGTATAAAAGTGCGATTCTGAATCTATCGACGAGAAAAATCTACATGGTAAACCTTGGCCTCAGAAAATCAAGGACAAAATATGGGCTGTGCGTTGCGCCAAGATGTACCAGGTCTGCTCCGGGTGTATAAACGCCATACAAGAAAATATCTCCCCGCTTGTTCGAAACTCATCTACAGAAATAATGACGGCACTGTGTGTTACCTTGGCTCCTCTCGCATATACAACGATACTGACGAATTCCCCACGGTGCCCTCAGGGCAGCTATGGCTGTGATGGCGCAAACCTCGGCTGGATGATGCTGATTCTTAATGAAATGAGCCTTTTACACCATGTCTTACGACCTGCAGTGTTATCTCACATGCCGAGGCAGAAGCCACCATCAAGAAGTCAGGCGCAGATGGTGGAACCCTTAAGGATGATACCCAGCCCAATTTCTCCAATTCACCGTGGTGGAATCTGTGATTTAAGCTGTTCCTTTCGCACGGCTATTACCGACATATATAACAGCATCACTGGTCTCACCCTGCACGATATAAGTGGAAGAGTCATGGATGGGCTTTATCTAGGAAGTAAATGGCTGAGCCTCAGACGCTGTCCCCGACTGGTCTGAACGCATGTCAGGTAGTGACGAGACTTATACCACCGCCACAAAGTTCTCTGACTCTATCCGACTACGGATCCTCACCGACCTGGATGATCTGGGCGACTTGCAAGTTTTAGCCCAAGTCAGTAGAGGATTCTCGAAACTTACAAAGCCCACGAGGTGCGGCTCATACGTAAATTCCTTCAGATGGAATATCGCAAGCAAAGTGGCACCATTGGTGGGAATAGCCCACACCACAGCGGCAACACAGAGCCAAAGATGCTCACGAAAGACCTCGTCGATATCAAACACCCACCCATCGATTCCAAGGACAAAGATTCCATGTCAGCCTTGGCTACTTGCAACGATGACGATGATGATGAATTGGCTGGCGTCGGTACCCCAGAGACAGCTTTATCCAGTAGTGTGCTCGAGCTGGCTACTGGACCACCTGAATATCGAGCAGATGAGAGGAGCATTGCTCACTGCTCCAAGGCAAGCGTCAATTAATCACTCTCAATCAACGCAAATTCGGTCGGGAAAATCTCACGGGACGGAGACCGTTCATGTTGAAGCGCCGCCAATGAGGGACGAAGAAGCTCGCAGGATCTTGTGGCCCGGTTCAGTCACTCCGGAGTCGCCTACACCCATCACTCTCCCAGCTCGCGGTTTTGAAGACTGCCGAAAGAAGCTTCTCCTAGGCGACCCATGTTTTACCGCTGTTCTAGAAGACAAACACCTCATCAGCTGGATCTAAGGATTAGTTCACTTTTCAGGCTAGGACAGCAAGGCTGCACTTTTAGTCATCTCCGACGATTGATGAGCTTTGCCTTGCGGTTAGCATTGCCAACTGGGAGGCGAATGCAAGTGTATTTAAAGGCAAATGCAGGGTATACTGGCACATGCTAGACTTTTATAACCAGGAGTTGGACCCAGGCGTTGGCCTCCATCAAGTTGTTACTCTGACGGGGACACCAACGCGCTCTGAAAAGGACTCTTGCGAACACTTTGTTAGAGAGCGTGGAGTTCAACGGCTGGTCACGGAGTTTGCCTCTACATTATGGCTATCCGAGGTGGGTTCTCCTGGCACACAGCTCCAGTGGCTTCCGCAAACCTCAGTTTTAACGTCATTTCAATGTGAGACTAACGTTGCAAAGGTCCCGTCAGTTGTACGGTGGCGTACATATCACGTTCGAGGATGTGTATAATAGTGACAAGCATAGAGATCGTCCGTATACTTGTTTCTCAATATCTGGTTCCGTCCCTGAGATGGCTCGTCTAATCCAGCAACGTGCCTGGCTTACAGCTGCATTCACTTTTCCTATGCAAAACGCCCTCGCAATATCAACTGCCGTCTTGGCAATTGCCGAGTCTAGATTGATTAAAACCCAACCCAAAACCGTCCCCCGAGGTCTTGGGCCAGCACCAAGCTGACCGGGGAATGAGTGCGATTTGCCGACACCGTCTTCTCCGAGGTGCCGTCCTGGCTTACGGATGTCCTATATCCGAGCGAGAGGAAGGACTTGGGCTGCAGATAGCCTTTGATCTAATGGAAGGACTCGCTGGCATTCGCACCCAGGTAGAGGTTGGTGAAGGAACCACATTGCTGGGCGGCGCTGGGGTTGTCTTACACCCTACCGCACTTCTGAATAGCGGCATGCAATGGCACTGCGCCAAGGTGGATGACGACTACGTGAAACACGGTTCTGGAGCCGCCACAATCCTGAAAGGTCATGGCACAACTATAGAGGATCTTCCAAACCAAAGGAGATTTCTTGGATATTATTATCAGGCCGAGGTGCTTTTGGGAACCAGGGAACTTGTCGAATATTCTGCCGTTCGAGTCTTGGAGCCAGAATTTCCGCCGGCGCCTCCAAGAATAGAAATTGCAAATTAAGGAAACAATTAATGGCGGCATGTCCGTTCAAGGTATTTTCTCTATGAATATCGGTGGCGAGTACGTGGTCTCAAAAACGCTCCAGGTATCGTTAGAAGCTCGCGGATACCACGACTTGGTGGATGACGCTGAACAGCAGCCAATAATAATCTATGACGGGGAAACCAAGTCCGCATGGCTAGTGTCAGAATTAAGCCTCGTGTTACACATCACCTTTTCATAGTTATCCACTCGTCAGATCCAGGACAGGCGACAGACTGGATTTGAGGCACTGGGTGGGAGAGTGGCCGCCGTTGCCGTATGCCGAACCATGCGCTGATGCCGGCTCGGAGGCACATTTGCAAACAACCAGAGAACTGCAGGCGGCTCGGTTATGGGCGGAAAACGGCAAAATGCAGACCTATTTGGGCGTCATATGGGACATCTTGAGGGACTTCTGGGCAATCGAGGATGGAATCATGGCGCAGGACAAGACTCTGCAAGTGTGGCCCATGCGAAAAAAAGGGACTAAGAGGTTGGGAGTATACGGATCTTGTGAGACGAAGAAGTCTAGTATGTCGAAAGGAAATCCCTCACGATGGCCAACACGCCTCCTGGTGGGAACTTGGAAAGGCCAAGGACACCTTGGTCATTCTCGGCAGTCGTTTCGGCCCTTTGATCAGGCCGAAACCTTTGTCAAAGAGCCCAGCTGGGCTGACGAATATCCCCCCTGGATCGAGGCTGTTGATTGCCGGCAAGCCTTGCATTGATATCTTGAAAACTTTCAAAGAGGGTACCCCTATTCTCGGTTCACTGGAATGGCGGTCAGCCGCCAAACGTCAGTCGTCGTGTAATCATCTCTGCGATGCGACATCTTGCTACTGTATACAAATCTTGCAGACGAAATGGCTGCGTGAACAGGTTCCGACCGAGGCCCCAAGGCGAAGGGTGCCAAGTACCCAGGCAATCTTTTTCGGAGAGTGTTAGTATTACCACAGAGCGCTATTACCACAGGGATGATTGCGTTGAGCTTGCTCTAGTGCTTACTCTGCTATTGCGTATTTTTCCCGCAGGCACAAGGTTCTAAGTACGACTTGGCACGTAGATTTTCCTATAACGTTTCTTTCATAATAATAAGCAATGCTAAATTAAAAGTGATGATTCATTATAAAGAAAATATGAAATCAATTACAGGTTACAGTTAAAGATGATGTATTAAAGTATGTCGCCGAAGCTGGCACGTCTTTGTGCTTAGAGCCGGCACAACATATATACGTCCAGAATCTTGCCATGGCCCTTATTTGGAAGCGCCTGTGCTAAGAAGATGGCTGTAATGCTGCCACAATGATACGATCCGTGTGCCTGCGATGATCCTAGATCTGCAACTGTGCTGTCACGTTTGAAGTTGTTCGTCATGGCACCGCAGATTAAGTTCTCAGCATGGAGGCTAGGTGTGCTGCAAATCTTCCTGTTTCATAATGGTGCCGTGAAGAAAATCCTCGGTATAATGAAGGATATCCTCGGTACGATGAAGAACGTCCTCGGCACGGTGAAGAACCTGGCTAGCACTGCGGAGTAGATAATGTGGTATTGGGATTTTCGGGAGGGGTCGGAAATGTCGTAAGACACTCCCTCAGAGGCTAGAAGCCGTCAAACTCCTCTTGGCTTCGTCAACAGCCAATTGATCGACTTGTGGCGTCCACCACAAGGCCGCCCACCATGGTTGGTCGCTTGCCCGCTCCTATAAAGGCCTTCTTTCGTTGGCTCCGGAGCTGGGTAGTGCCATGCTTCGTCTAGCTCCAGTTTTCTTTCGAACGACGGCACGGAACGTTTGCCGTTTGGGAATTAGGCGCCGCCAGTTCTTTGATTGTGACAAGTCACTCCTCGGAAGCAGTGTGCGGGGAGACGGTTGAGATATCCGGATGTCCCTCTCCTCGACATGGGGCTAACGAACTTTTATGAAGCCACCTTGCACCGGTCTCAAAAAATTCTCATCTAAACAGCTCTGCTGAAAAAAGGAGAATGCATGCGTGGGTATTACTATTACAACGGCCTGTTGAGCCACAACTCCCAGCTCCAACGCCATGCCGCTCACATGGCCACCGAGCTAATATTGCTATGTCTTGTCCCATCATCCGAACCACTATGAGCCAAGGGGTACTCATCATCCGCATCAAAGTTTGGCGCCATGTTCCTCTCACGCTCTCCCCTGCTATTGCGTGTACTTCGCGATGTAATGACCGTCTCCACTTGGATAACCCCGTTTAGTCTCCCATGAGGACTGACAACTTTTGTAACTCCAAGATCCCCAAGTTCTTCTGACGAGGAATCCTCGGCTTTGGTTTTGTTGATGGTGTGCATGGGGTAGGACTTTGTCTGGTGGTTGTCTTCTGGATCCTCGTGTGAGATTGTTCTATGGTTCGACGTAGATGGTAGATGGGTATCCGAGTTTTCGCCTCTCGCGAGTTTCGTAATCAGGTCTGCCATTGTCATTTCAATGTTCAGCTTCACCATGTATGTGACCGGGTGAAATTGTATATAGACGATTTGGTTGGGCAGCGACATAAGACCAATAAGCAACGCCTGATGAGTTCACTTAGCTCGGGACAACACAAAGAACCGCAGAGCCGTCTGTAACCTTGACCGAAACTTACGTCCATGAGGATAGATACCACCATCAACCTGGCGTTGAAAGCAACCAAAGGGGCGTATTTGGTTAAGCCATGTCTCAATACAAGTCGTCGCTTGACGGTCCGGAGGAAGTAGTAATTGAGGCCTGCATCGACTAACAAGATGAGTACTTTGGAAATTCGATCCCAAATTTCATTTATCTTGACGTATCTGTTAGTCTTCTTGTTAGCTTCGACATGCAGAGGTAGATGGACGGTTCGCAAGTGGCTGCCCTTACAACTCGCTCGCTGGTGGTACAATGTGAGAGGGGATCCATATGCAGAAGACGGCAATATTGATGCATGTAATGACGAAAGCCGTGCCCCATTTCAGCCTTGTCACAGTGTCTTGGTGCTCTGCAATGATGGCAATTCGATTGACAATGATTTGCATCAGTAGCTGGATTTCAAACGTCCAGAGGAGCAGCATGAAGAACAAGACGGGAATTCTGCAGCAAAGGTGAGAATCAAGTATCAGTAGACCGTAGATTGAGCATCAGGATAACGCATGGTAGACAAACGTTGGCGACAGAAGCCCATCAAGAAATACCCATGCGATGATACCGATGGCGAGGTTGGCAATAATCTCGCCCCAGATCATGTAGACATAGGCGCTCTTCCACGGTCGCCTGTTTCTCCTGGTGTGCTGAATTGCCTTCCACACAGTCAAGAATCCAAAGCCAAGCGTGAAGCCAGCAGCCAGCGACGCCACTTGAATGTCTTGTTTGGTTGCCATCTTCCACGCATTGGTGGAAGTTGTGATGATTCGACAATGGTCCGGTGGCCAGTGCAAGTTTCCAGGCGGACAAAGATGGAGATTTACTCCTATTTATTTCTCAGATCCCCGCCGCCGCGCTTAGAGAGCGCCCCAGTGCTTTCAGTTATTACATCTACCGTTGCATATTCTAGCACCGGCACTTGGCGCAAAGTGCGGAGCTGGTTAGCCTTTCCCCTTCAAGCCATCAATGAGACTTGGGGCTGGGTATTTGATTTGGGACGATCTGGGGTCTTCTTCCAAAAAAGCGTTAGACTATGAATTGGATGCTCCTGACAGAGCAGAGCAACAAGACGGTTTGACGTCCCGGTTGCATTCATACTGTGACTTGGGTGGAGAGCCGGTGGCCGCCACACAAAGCAAGCGTGACATTGGAGCAACCGTACAGCATCTAGCCTACGGCTTTCGTGGCTAGCCTATGAGCATCAAAGTGGAGGAGAAAGTAAGCGCCCAGAGAGCAAGGGGAACTAGGAACGGCATATTCCATTGTCTACAGTCCTCAGCCACGCCGTGCCAAATCAGACGTGCCCCTTTTTTCGTGACAGGGTTCAAATATCTCAGGGTACAGTATTTTTTAGTCGTAGAAAGTACAGCGGAGAGCTTTTGCCCAAGCTTATGCCAGTTTTGGAAACCATTGTGGCGACAGTCATTCCTTTCATAGTGTATTGGCGCGACGCCTTTGAAGGATTGGACGACAGCCAGAATATTGACTTCCTAAACGCATACAAATCGAAAATCAGCTTTATCACGCCAATTTTTGAAGCCGAAAGTGGTCCCAGACAATGCAAAAGTCGGCAAATAGCGACACCCGTGGAACGCATATCGAAGTTCCCAGCTTCTGCAAACCCTCCCAGGCTCTTTAGTATTCTCACTCGTCCAAGAAAACCGTTGTGTCGGAAGCATTTGGCTGGCCTTTTTCCATGCTGCGGTACCTTGAGTATTGCGTGTAACGGAGACCCAATCACTGCAGGGCCCAAGCAATAAACCATACATGAAATTGGTGGCGAAACTTGCGAAGTTCATAGGCGATGTTACATACACTCTGTGGGACTGATGTATTTAGCCGCCATAATTCTCGCCAAATGTGGAAATTGGGTTACATACAAGGCTCTTGGGTTTTAAGACCATTCGCTACGTGAGAATCCGGCTCAGGGGTTTCTGTCGACATAAATGGCTTCTATGCTTGCTTGGGCACATCATGGCATGCTTTCACAACAGCCACAGCAATTGTGAGTTTCACGCGATCACATCTGTCGTAGCCGAAACCAGCTGCTTAACTTTCGTTGAACCCCAATGTATTGATCCCTTATTAATCAAGTATTGCGAGAGAAATCATTTTACTCATACGACGTCAGTTTATTTCAAATAAAATGAGGATTGCTAAGGAAGCGAGCGTTTGGGTAATATCCCAAACTTTGACATTGAAATGTAATACCCATCAACAGTGTGACGAGAGTTCAGTAGAGGGCTCAATAAGACGTGGCTCAATTCATCTGATAACAGTCTTATATCAAACGACCTTACTTGGTTTCTTCCAAGGCCATCTGAGCAGAAGACCCATTTATACAAAGCAGCGGTGAGCCCTCGAGCCCCGAGGTCTCGTGATCGTAGCCCTTGTGTAACATCTGTGTGGCAAACAGCAAGTGTTGTTGGCGAGAGCTCTACCTTTTTTTTTCCAAATTTTGAATTTTCACTGAAGCCTCTCTTGACTATTAAGACGGCCCTTTACACCCAAAATACGTTGGGTACTAAGCACGACGCGGATTGTCCTACGTAATGGCCGATGGACTGTTCGAGATGCACCGCCACCTTCCCTCCTCGGCTTCGACTTTTTATAGGTTTACGGGAGGGCTTGAAATTGATGCCGAGGTAGCTAGAAGTGACCGTCAGTAAGATAGCTTGCCCGCGTGTCGAACTTTCTCCATCGTAGCCTCTTGAGATAACTCAAACGAGGACGTCATGAAACTGCCGGCTTGCTTTCGGACTAGCTGTCACGGAGAAGAAGGGATAGTTCGAAGAGAAAGTAGCACGCCTAATCCTTGTTTTTGTTCTAGAAAGAAGTGATGGCATGAAGCTGCTGAATCTACTTGGCTACGTGTTCCCATCTAACAAAGGGGGGACCAAGGGACCGCACTAAGCAAGCCCTGGTGACGGGGTTCCTGATAACTTTGGCAACAACGGCTATTGAGGCCCATGAAATCCAAGAAATGGAGGAATAAGCATCCATTAGTCTCACTAGTCTTGTTCGGGCCGCAATTATGGTGGAGTGTTGAAGTCGGCGTCTCGATATTGCCAATTGTTGGAAATACAACAGTAATTTACACGGCTGAAAAAGTGGTTATTGGGGAGGCTTTTAGAGGCCTCGACTGAACAAATTTGATGATGTAGAAGATGGATCGAAAACTCTGTTAAACACACTGAAAACCCCGGGAATTGACCCTTTTATACCCTGTTGGAGCCCCCGAAGACCCCTGCTGTGGCTCTCAGCCCTAGGAAAAGCAACCATCATGACCAGCAGCTCTGAATATCACCTTTTTCGCCCAGCAATACTACTACTATTGCATACTCTTATCAAAATCGCCTTGAAGGTTTTAATTTGACCGTTAGAATTCAATAATTAGTCGTTGCCATGATCTTGTTCTTTTTTCAGTGAAAGAGAGCTGCTTCACTTGTGTCAACCCAGTAACTAACCCTCACCGTCACAGGGCAAAGAGCAAAACGAGACGGCCGTATATCTGAGCCCATGACAGAATCTAGACGTCAGAAGATGTCTATGGCTTCAAAAGAAATTTAAAACAACATGGATACAAGTACTAGACGGATACCTGCAACATTATTTTCCACGGTAGCAGCCACGATCCGCAAAATAGTACCACGTGCTAGCATCGTAAATTAAGACGCATGCAAAGCATACAGGGGGACACGAAAAGGAAATGTATTACTCTAAACCACTCTGCACAAATACAAATGTATAATTCGTATAGCTTAGATTCGCTCAATCAGTCTAGTCAGTCAAATCACCCACTCTTTGATATAAGCCTTGGAACTTGCAATCTAGGCTACATCCACAAAGATGTAGGGCTACGATAATTGCACAGTGGTTGGTTCAGCACTATCCAAGAAACAAAAATAAGTCCATTGCTGCAAGGCATGTTCCCGTCAATGTCAGTACGCAGACCAATAAGCACCAACGGCCTGAGAATGGCGGTGTTGAAGCCACGAGGGCCCGGCCATACCGTTTCCTCTACTTTGGACAAACAACAAAGAACGGTGATGGCCTGTCAGGTTCGCTCATCAGAGGCAGCGGCATCAGCCTACTACCATGCTGCAAGTCTCAAAAGCTTCCCGCGGCATCTTAGTAGTCATCTCCCGTCGACCCGTAAAAGTGCTCAATAAGCACCACCGGCCTGAGAATGGCGGTGTTGAAGCCACGAGGGCCCGGCCATACCGTTTCCTCTACTTTGGACAAACAACAAAGAACGGTGATGGCCTGTCAGGTTCGCTCATCAGAGGCAGCGGCATCAGCCTACTACCATGCTGCAAGTCTCAAAAGCTTCCCGCGGCATCTTAGTAGTCATCTCCCGTCGACCCGTAAAAGTGCTCCCCTCGCTCCAACACTTCAATCTCGTCGCCGACGGCAACATACAGCCCTGCATTCTGCTCCTGGGCTTCGTCCAAGCTGCGGTCCTCGGGTACACAGTGCATGCCCATGTATCCCATGGCGGCATTGTTTCCGGTTTCGACGGTGCGGTGCCGAATCAGCGTCGTGCTTGGTTGCGGCCTGCCCTTTTTCTTGTCCGCGGCGGGCTTATCGGCATCGAAGACGCCCTTGTCTGGATCGACGTTGGGCATTGTGCACCTCGACGTGCGACATACGACGCACAGCACGGCATCGACACGCGCGCGCCGGGGCGCACCAGGGGTGTCATTCTTGCGCACGATGCGATAGCGCTTCCAGGTTTCCTCGTCGTAGGCCGGCGCCCCCGTTATCCACACGTTGGCTCGGAACCGCAGCGCGTTGAGAGGCTGGTTCTCCTTGGGAAGCAGCTGGGCAAAGTCGTGGACCGACGACAGGCTGGCAACGTTGACGGGCTGTTGATCGGTGTAGCCGTGGACCGAGGGAGATCCAATGTACTTCAGGGGCGCGAGGTTCTGCGTCGTGCGGACCAGCGCGTCAGGTGTGCACTTGAAGAGCGTAAACGGGGTCGGGTCTGAAATCTTGAGGAACCTCTTCAGCTTTGGAAGTGCTGCCGCAACAGAGGGCACGGCTCCCATATCAATGCCTTGTGCCGTGCGGCCGTGTATCACAAAGGGTCTCAAAGGCGTCTTCTCCACATCATGCGTCGGCAGATGGGACTCTGTGAGGTTCAGCGGAGCAATGAACGAGACCTCGGGTGCTATTGCCGGATTCCACGTGTAGAGAAGCGACTCGAACCAGGTCAGCCAGGTCGGACGCTCGGGGTCGGGAAACCGGACAACCACACATCCCCCAGAGCGTACCAGCACATGGCTGGGATCACTGGCCGGGTGTGGCAGCCAGAGCTCGGTTTTGACGAGAGACATGGCCGGCTTGGTGCGCTGGCTTATGAAGCGCCAGAACCTTTTCCTGGCGCCAGTGTCCAGATCTGGCTCAACCACCTCGGCAGCTATTGCGAAGCATCGGTCATACATGAATCCAGACTTGGTGAGCAAGGCGCGGTCCACCTCGATCGGCGCAAAGGACTTGACGGGATGGATGTAGATTGCCTTGATGCGGATGGGACGGCTGGTGCTGCCTCCTGGTGGCAGGTCATACTGGGCATCATACTGGTCGCGCATATTGCTTTGGTCCGGCGAGACGCCGACACGTCGGAGTTGTCGCAACTCCCGTCGAACGGCATGGTTGCGCCCTGTGCATAACACACCGGCGGCCGCGGAACTGAGGAGAACGAGCAGTACGGCTAAGCCGCAAAAAATGGCCGACGGTGTCAGGACAGCCCGCAGGTTCTGCAAAATATCAAGTAGCATGATACCAGGCGGTGCGCCTCGTACAAGACGACGGTTGTTGGTGGTCGTGAGGAGGAGATGTTGTCGCGACAATATTACGTGAGCGGCCACAAGGAAAATTCGCTGTGCAACTTGACTGAGAATTCCCGAACCGTCCCCGGATCCATAATATTTGACATAATCGTGGGCCGAGATCGGTCAATCGCGTCAAGAAGGCGCCTTTCGGTAGTTGGTCGTGTTGGCGGCAAGCTCATACGAAACCAAGGCAATTTTCACGTTGACAGCTGAGGGTAGCCGATTCTCACATTCAGCGTTGGCGGCACATTATTCTTTCAGGTTTGGGCTACTTGACTAGTTATCATAGTTATCACGCCGTGTGGCGGCAAGGGTTCTCCGCTCCAGGCGACTGGAAATCGGCAATACAGCCAGATGGAGCGGCTTTAGCGGAGGCTCCGTCGAGGTGATACATATGTACACACCAGACATGTGCAGTCTATCCCTTCTGACTCCGCTAGAGGGGCCACGTAACAATTTAGCTTATATAGCTACGTAATAGGCATGGGCAGTAGACGGTGTTGTGGGCAATGTACATCACTTTGTTGAAATACAATGTATTTATCCATTGTATGTTATGACAATACTGGACTCCAATCGCACGACCTTCACCATGAGAGTGATGGCGATTGATTTGGCCGTTGCGTAACGAAGCTTGCCCTCGTCGGGTACGAGAGCTCGATCGACAACGAAGACGGCAAAATGCCCAAGATTGACAAAACTCGTCCCTTGGCGCTGCGGAATGATGATGACGAGACGCGAAACGGCCATGCAAGGTCCAGGAGGCCTGCTGGTGCCGCGAGGCCAATCAGCATCAGAAGACTCGGAGCGTCCCCTCGTCAAGCATCTGAACGTCTGTCTCTCCGTTCTTGTTTTCGCGGCACGTGGCGCGCGACTACATCCGAACGAAGCCTGAGACTTGTCTTTCCTCCTTCTGGCATCGTAAGCTGCCGGCCGTTGACGTCTCCGGGGCATCCGCGTGGGCATATTCGATGGAATGTTCTGGGCACACCAGTAGAAACATGGTTGCGACCTTGCCGAGAAGCTGCAGAGGGATGTCAACAACGAGGTTGCAGTCCAATCTGCAGGACACGCCCTTTGAACCTGGTTCGCGCCAGCAGGACACAATCACCTCCGTTACGCACAAGCCCTGCGGTATTGCCAAGGATGTATGCTGCATGGCGAGTTTCTGCAAGAGCCATGATGTCGACCTCTTGTATGGGCAGTCGACCGGTCGGTCGGTTGTGACGACAAGGCGGATGAATCCTCGGCACCGCCCATGGCGACAGTGGAATTGCCAACTTGACTCCATGTCTGATTCTGCCAAATATAGCCTGCTTGGTATGTCAGGCCCCTGGTCAATTACGGTGCTTTGAGAACTTTTATGACGAGTTCAAGACAGATTGTATCAAGGCTCAATCGCTGTTTCAGGAACAGCGTGGGATTTTGCGACAAATTGTCTCGATAGCAAGGCTTGCCTCGCGCACGCGGAATATTCGAAACCTTGGATGCATACGGCAAGCAGGTGGCAATTTTGGGCGTTGCAAAGCAGTTCATGCACAGCTACAACAGACATGCCACACAGACACGTTGTCTTCGTCTCCCCATCACCCCAGCGTGGTGATGGCCACGGCGACCTCTGGAGTAATGAGCATGAGACAAACGATGCTCGAGTATGAGATCATGAACTGACCTCGCCGCCGTCAGAACGTGCATGTTTCACCCAATTCGGGAGAAACAAAACGTGCCGTGAGTACGCACAGCAAGCTCTTCATTTCCAAAGGCTGCAGAGAGGTCGCGCCCCTCGGTCTTGGTTGCGCGGGCGAGACGCAAGGGTTTCTGCCAAGGAGGCCAAGTCTGGGTCTTTGCATTCTAGGCACCAGCCGTTGAGCATCAAGTTTTGAACCACGGTGCAGAAGAAGAATCACCGACCCAAGGCCCTCGAGTTGACTGTGGCGAGAGCACGGAACAAATGTCTCCTCGGCATCTCAGTTCCGCAAAGCCAGGAGGCGGCTTCTTGTTGGCGATGATGCCGACAAGGCCGCATCTTTCGGTCCTCACGCGCGTCGAGCTCCATGTAATGCTGGAGCAGTCGTTAGCTCCGAATAACTCGCTGTGGAATGAGGTGACTGACTTCCTTGAGAAGCTCACCATGGTTTCATAGGAACCAGGCGTCGACTATGAATTATCTGCCAACTTTTTCAGAAACACGGATTAGGACATGATTGGCCTGCCACATGCCGAGTTACGGACGGCCCTCAATACCGAGTCACAAAGAACCGCTGCGGTTACGATGTGGATAACTGCACTCGGTTAGAGAGCGCAAAGCACAAGATGAGAACGGGCGTCAAAGTTGCCCATGTTTTGCATCATGCATCGAGCCAAAATGCTGCACTTCGGCCCATGGATCCGAGTGCAGGGTCGGGTTGGAGCAGCAGACGAATGCGTGTAATACGTCTCCTTTGCGGGTACGCATTCCTGCGAGAGAGACGGGACGGGCGGGCATACTAGACATGCATAGCTTCTGGAGCATGCAACGAGGCGACTTTGGGTTCAGAGAAGCGGTCTGTCTTGCCCAGGGAGACGAAAAGACAAGACCACGCGGTAAATAGCGGGAACCTTGCCCTGCGCTAATATTAATCAGAGCACAAGGAGCGGCGGGAGTAGTACTTTTCTCCCACCTCTTGTCATCTAGCAAGGCGAGGGCCGAACTGAGTTTGGGGGTGAAACACTGGCCAACCGTCATGTGAACGAGCCAGGAGAATTAGAATTGTTTTGCAATGGCACGAGCCTCAAAACCGGCAGGACCACCCCCCTATTATTAGCAACGCGGCATGCAGCATGTCGTGGTGTGGTAGCACTGCTTCGGCATGTAGTAGCCAAATGCCGGTGGCTGCCTGCGGAATACTACGCTTCACAGCGGACGCGGCACGAACACAAGAGGAATCCGACTGACGGGGCGGACAAGGGAGGCGGTTGAGATGATGGAGAAGGTTGCAGCGATCCAAAACGGCGCATTTCGAGAAGATTGCCCGTCGTGACTAGCATCGTAACACGGGTCAGCCAGAGCATACTGCGTCGACGGACAAGCGACAAAGGCGGTTGAGCCGAGAAGACGTTGGCACTCTGGATACGAGAGGTCTCTTTACGTATCGTGAGTTTTTATATGCCTAGTTTTAACGCATGCCGGCGAAGGAAGGCGGCCGAACTGCACGAGCATTGGAGTGGCAGTGCCGACGAAAGGCTCGCACGGGAATACAATCTCAACGGGCGCTCGACTACGCATCGCGGCAGGCAAACCGGGGCAATGTGACTTGTTACATGTCTCACGTACCAAAGGACTTGAGAATGATTGTTCATGTTCATGTTCGAATCGGATGGCGGAAATGACTGCACCACGTCGGCGTATAGGTCGGGCGGAGAAGATGCGCAAGACAACAGCATTTTGAGATGTTGCAGGATACTTTCTAGTACTCCGTACGAGTACAAACAATTTTGTAAGTTGTATTTGACAAACAGGCCCATGGCGACGCAGATTCCTTCCCTGATACGGCGAGCCGCCATCCATTCTAGATTGCATCTTGTTTTTATCCTCGTCAAATGACATGACTTGTCACACTCGGCCGGCATAATGTAAGCAAGCCCAGCGTTCAGACGAAGCAAGCATAAGCCAAACCCAAGCCATTGTCGTCTATACCCGTTTACAAACGTAGAGCCATTATCAGCACGGCTCGGTATCCCACCATGTATTTTGCCCCTTCTGCCCGCAACAAGTAATTGGATAGATCTCAATTGACAGTCACTATAGACACACTACACTACTTTCATTCAGTTTCAGTGCCGTGTTGTCCTGGGCAATCGGCGCATCGCACATGTGAGGATTCTCAATACTCTTGCGCCGCGCAGCAATCGCGGCTGAAAAGTGCGGTTACACGGGCAAAAATGCTTCCAGATTCACTTTCCAACCAGACCCGAGCATCAGTTTGCCCAATCACCACCGTCGCACAACGGCCGAGATTTGCATTTCCCGGGCACGCAGAGTCGCACACTTTGGCACACAAGGCTCTGCTCTCTTGTGTCAAGTTGCACCATCAGTCGAGCCCAAATGCGTTTGGTGTGTGTTTGCCGCAGTGGCTCGCTGCTGTGCCATGAGACTTGCCGGGTTGCCGCTGACATCTGGGACCTTGCAAGACATTCTGTTACACCACCTCGGCAGGTAACACAGATGCATCGCGGGAATGCACCCCGTGCATACACGGCAGCTCTGATTGGCACCTCTCTGCAGCAAAGGGGCCCCGTAGGCATTGTTGTCGCATCGTCGCCGCGCAGAGCGGCTGACGGCGGATGGAAGTGTCACGGGGGGGCGACGCAGATACAAATTGATATTACAATGAAACATTGAACAGCAAGACGTCGAGTCTGGTGGGAAAAACCCGGTCCCTCCATTCGGAGGGTGCTGGCCATGACGCGCTTCCCGCGCTTGCAGAAATGTCGGTCAATCGTTTCCTTGCATTAGTCAACGATCCTTCCAACTCTGTCTGCGGATTGCTTCGTTACACAGCCCAAGAATGGGGAGAGTCTAGAATATGACCGCCTGTTCCTGCGCAGTGGGTAACTCTTGCACAACGTCGGGTCATGAGCTCATCCGTCGTTGACCGACTTTTCCCTGCAAGCTCTTCGGGTCCTTGTGCCAAACTGCCAACACGGTCTTCCCGCGGGGTCAATTATAGGTCTACGGTTGTAGTGTTCAAACTGACAAGTCCACATGGGACGCAATTTATATCCCCCGGCCTGGGTTTGTGTAGCATCCTGAGGTATTTGCAAGTCTCCAGGGGGCGTCAGACCTGCATACCTGTCGAGGTCATGCTGGAGACGGTCTGTATTCAACAGCTGCAAGTCATTGATGACCCAGAGACTTGCACCAGACCTTTTGGGACGAGCGTAAAGGCGTGGCTGTTAGTCATGAA